GCAGCCTTAGAAGTCATCAGAGAATTCATACAGGAGAGAAACCTTACCAATGTAGTGAATGTGACAAATGCTTTACCCACAAAGGCAGCCTAATTATTCATCAGAGAATTCACACTGGAGAGAAACCTTACCAATGTAGTGAATGTGACAAATGCTTTACCCACAAAGGCAGCCTTAGTATTCATCAGAGAATTCACACAGGAGAGAAACCTTACAAATGTAGTGAATGTGACAAAGGCTTTACCCTAAAATGCAGTCTTGTCATTCATCAGATAATTCATACAGGAGAGAAAGCTTACAAATGTAGTGAATGTGACAAATGCTTTACCCTCAAAAGTGATCTTAGTATTCATCAGAGAATTCATACAGGAGAAAAACTTTACAGATGTAGTGAATGTGATAAGTGCTTTACGAAGAAATATCGTCTTAGAAGTCATCAGACAATTCATACAGGAGAGAAACCTTACAAGTGTAGCGACTGTGACAAATCTTTTACCCTGAATGGCCATCTTAGAATTCATCAGCGAATTCATACAGGAGAGAAACCTTACAAATGTAGTGAATGTGACAAATGCTTTACTCAAAAATGTGGTCTTATTATTCATCAGCGAATTCATGCAGGAGAAAAACCCTACAAATGTAGTGAGTGTGACAAATACTACACTCGCAAAAGCCATCTTAATGTTCATCAGCGCATTCACATAGGAGAGAAACCTTATAAATGCAGTGACTGTGACAAATGCTTTACCAATAAATATTGTCTTGGAACTCATCAGAGAATACATTCAGTTAATAAACCTTACAAATGTAGTGAATGTGACAAATCTTTTGCCCTGAAAACCAGGCTCAGGTGTCATCAGATAATTCATACAGGAGAGAAACCATACAAGTGTACTAAATGCGACAAATACTTTACCCAAAAAGGAAGTCTTATTATTCATCAGAGAATTCATACAGGAGAGAAACCTTACCAATGTAGTGAGTGTGACAAATACTTTACCCGAAGAAGCAGTCTTAATGTTCATCAGAGAGTTCATACAGGAGAGAAGCCTTACAAATGTAGTGAATGTGACAAATGCTTTTCCCACAAACGTGATCTTAGAAAACATCAAAGAATTCATGCAAGAGAAAAACTGATAAAAATTTGAGTGTGACACATGCTTCACCCAAAAATTCAGGCTTCTTATTCATTCAAGCATTCATACAGGAGAGAATCCTTACAAATCTAGTGAATCTGACAAATGCTTCATCTGCAAAAGCAGTCTTAGAATCCACCAGAGAATTCATCCAGAAGAAAAACCTTAAAAAATATAGTGAATGTGACAAATTTCTTAGCCAGAAACAATCTTAGCACTCATCAGAGAATGTGCACAGTAGAGAACTTAACAAATGTAATGAATGAGAAAAATCCATTCCTAAGGAAGATCATCTTAGAGTTCATCAGAGACCACATATAGGAAAGGGTCCTTAAAT